AGGGCACAGCATGAGGCATCGCCAGACACTGGCACCAAGCCAGGAGCGGGAGAGGTGTTCCTGTCCCTTGTCCCCCAGCACTGCTGGGGAGCGAGGGAGGGGGAGAGCCTGGAGCTCCTGGGATTGGGCTGGAATTAACCAAACTCTTCATCCAGGGACAAAAGCAATCTGGAAGGGAGGCAACGAGAGGAGAGCCCTGGCTATCCCCAGACACAGGGGATAGCATGCAGCCAGCATCATGGGGGAGCATGCATGGGAAAAGCTCTGGGCCTGTGTGGGCCCCACTTACCCGGGGCTCTGCAGAGCAGGAGCAGCATCAGGCAGGTGAGAGGCAGCACCTCTGTCCCTGGAGCCATGGATATTCCCATGTCTTACTCCCTGATGTCTGGGCTTCTCTCAGCTCAGCTTGGCTAGGCTCAACCTGACACAGCTTAGCTGGACTGGGCTCAGCTCAGCAGGGTGCTGCAACTCAACCAGCAAAAGGGAAGGAAAGGGGCCACTACTAGCCCAGTTCCTCTATGCAGTGATGTCCCAGTTGTTCCCCAGTGTTCTCATCACAAGGCTGGTCCGAAATGCTGATGTCCATCCCACTTTCCCCTCAGATATGTGCCAAAGCCACAGCCCAGGCCATGGCCACTGGCACTGGGCAGCCAGCAAGAGGGACCCTGATGCCTCACACTCTTCCCACACGTGGCCCCAGCCTGTGGCTCAGCACCCCGGAGCGTCGGGGGGACACCTATCCTTTGCCAGCAGGATCAGGCAGCGGGCTGGTGTCTCCCGTGGGTCGGTGGTGCAGAGCTGGGCCAGGGGCCCCCGGTGCTCCAGCCCCACATTGAACCCGGGAGGACGTAGAGCCGCTCCCCATCCAGAGCCCAGTGCAGCCCCTCGGGGCCGGGCGGCCCGGGGGTGATGCCCGTCGGGGGTGATGCCCGTCAGGGGTGATACCCGACAGGTCTGATGCCCGGCGCGGGTGATGCGCGGCTCTGCCGCGACCCGCCCGACCCGGGCAGGCACCAAAGCGTTAACCACCCGCTCGCCTCCGTTTCCTGTCCCGCTTCTCCTTTTCCTTCCCAAAGTTTGGGCAGAGCCCATGGCCGCGGCGGCAGCTCTGCTCTTGTTCGGGCAGCTCTCGGGTGAGTCGGGAGTGGAGCCCCCGGAGCCCCCCGCTCCCCTGCCCCGTCCCACATCGGTCATTAACGCGAGCGGGAGCCAAAGAGAAGCACCGGGCTTATCTTGGGGGTTTCTTTCCGCGACCACCTTTTGGTTGCTGCGGAGCCCTGCTCCGGAGAAGAGCACAGCCGAGTCGAGCCCCGCAGAGCCGGTGGGGAGCAGACCGGGGGATTTGGGCAGGAGCGGTTTGGGGGCAGGAGCGGTTTGGGGGCAGGAGGAGTTTGGGAATGGAGAGGCTCGGGGGAGAGGAGAGGTTTGGAGACTTGAAGAGTTTGTGGGGGCAGGAGGGACTGGGGGACAAGGAGTTTGGGAGCTGTGCTGGACTCCAGGGCTGCACATCCCTGCCTAGAGCCAGCTCCTGGCTGGCTCCTGGCTGCGAACCCCAATTCTTTGTGGAGCCCCAGTGATCCTAACTCGTGTGGAACAGAGCCAGGGCATTAATGTTTAACAGCACTCTGGAGTTTTTCCTGGCAGGAATTCCCCTTAGCTCCCTCTGTACCTCTCTGGCCTCCAGCGCCTGCAGCACCTCCTGCAAATGGCAAAATAGGGTGCAGATTTATCAAATTATAGAATCACAGAACCATTTTGCTTGGAAAAGATCTTAGAATCCTCAAGTCCAACCATTTCCCCGGCACTGCCAAGGCCGTCCCTAAACCTTGTCCCCAGGTGCCACATTTACATGTCATTTAAATCCCCCCAGGGATGGTGACCCCACCACTGCCCTGGGCAGCCTGCACATTTTTCAGATTTGCCCCTTGTTCATTTTGAACCCACCTTCCCCTCTCCCAGTGCCTGCACTTTGTCTCTACCACATCCCAGGATATCTCTCAGCTGCACTGGGGAAGCTCAGGCTGCTCTGCCTGTGGATCAGCCCTCGCCTCACCCTGTCACTCACCCCTGAACCCTCCTGTCGCTGTGCCCAGGTGCCGGTGCCCAGGGCAGTCAGGACTTCAAGCTGCACCAGCCCCGGGACAAGGTGTCGGTGATAGTGGGGAAGACGCTCACCCTGGGCTGCACCGTGTCTGGATCCAGTGAGCCTGGTCCTGTGAAGTGGCTGAAGGGCTGGGGCACTGAGAACAGGACCATCTATGGGGACACTATGGGCTCTGCTTCCCCCCGTGTGACGAGAGCAGTGGAAGGGTCCGACACAGACTTCACCATCCACATCAGGGATGCTCAGCCCGAGGATGCCGGCACCTATTACTGCGTGAAGTTCCATAAGTCCCTGAGCGGTGGGGATGAGGTGTTTCGGCGTGGAAGTGGCACGGAGGTGTCTGTGCTCGGTGAGTGCAGCCCAGCAGGATGCTGCTCCCGGGGACCCCATCCCACAGCCCCCACCCTGACTGCAGCCAGGCCCCACACTGCCCTGCACCCACCACCCTCTCCCTCTCTGCCTCCATCTCCACAGAGGCAGCCGTGGTTCCTGGCATGGTGGCTGCAGTTGTGGTGCTCTGCCTCCTCCTCCTCCTCGTCCTCCTCGTCGCCCTTTGCCTGTACAGGAGGAAACGCCGAGGTGGGGTGGGCAGCCCGTGCCCAGCGGGGCCGGCAGGCATGGGCAGCTTCCCCCCCTCCCCGCTGCAGTGCTGTGCAGGGACCCCCAGCACCCGCAGGTTTGTACCCACCACCTCTTCCTTCTGCACCCTGAGCTGAGTGAACTGCCTTATCCACCTGCTGTATGCTGGTTTCTTTTCCTCTCTAGAGCAGTAATTTGCCCCAGAAAAGGTCCTTCACTGCGCTGCGTTGCCCCTCTCTGTGTTTCACAGGAGCACCTGGTGGGGGGCACCCGGCACCAGGGAGCTCCCCGCAGCCCCTCGCTGCGGTGCCTGAGCCCAGCCCAGGAGCACAGACAGCACCTTGTCCCTCTCTGCCTTCAGCATGGTCATCCTGATGAAATTCGGGAGGGGAATTGAGGGAGACTGTGCTGGGTGGGAGGGGACGCAGATTCCTTTAGTTCTAATGGTTGTCCTTCCCTCTGCAGCGAAGTTCTGGATGCAGAGAGCTCCCACCTACCCAGCCAGGTAAGAGCGAGCTGTGAATAGGGGGAAGCACATCCCATGGCAATGCCCTGGCTTGCAGGAACTCTGCAAGGCTCTGGGGCTGAGGGGGCATTGGGTGGGCAGCATCTGCCTGCCTGTGGTCCCAGCACAGTCTGCGCCACAGCACGGGGCCACCTCTGCAGCCGTACCACCACCAGCCTGGCTTGAACCTGGTCCTTGGTGTTGCCCCGTGCAAGGCCAGGAGTCGGACTCGATGATCCTTGTGGGTCCCTTCCAATCCAGGGGATATCCCACGATTCTGTGAAACGGGGTGGGGTTATTTTTGCATCGTCCCCCATTCTGCAGCAGAGCAGCAAGGAGGAGAACGACATCCACTACGCCGACCTGCAGGTCCTGCCTGTGGCCCCGCGGCACGGCAGGAGCGGGGGCACAGCCTGCACGGAGTACGCCAGCCTCAGGATAGCTGCCGAGTGATGCGCGGCCCCGCGGCCCGCCCGGCCCAGCCGTGCCAGGGAGGAAGCAGGGACCTTTCTGCAGGGCACGGTAAAGAAGAAGTGGAGCTGTTTGTGCTGTGAGCGGTCTCAGCTCAGCACGCCATTCTCAGAGCCGAGCTCCTCCTGTTTGTTCCCGTCTCAGGGCTGGACCTGCCGTGCCAGCTCTCCCAGGACCCAGCAGCCATCTCAGACCACGAGGCTGAGCACCTCTGCCTTGTGCGAGCTGTTTGGTGCTGATGACACTAGGAGGGCCTCATGCTTGCTTGTGCCCACCAGCACAAGCCTCCACTGGCCCTTTCCTGTCTGACAGGTCCATAATTTCTGTTATCTTGTCACCACCCTCATTAAAGCCATCCAACAACTGTGCTGTCCATTTTTACTGTGCTCAGGGCAAGAGCAATAGTGCCAGTACTGCAAGATCCTGGGAGGAACGTGTGCCCCCCACATCCCCTGTGCTGCTGCTGGGCTGATGCTGAGCCCCCCAGGTAGCTCCCACCTCCCACCTGCCCCAGGCAGCTCCCCCAGCCAGGGCACCTGCTCCATGCACATCTGCTCCTTGCACGCTCCCTGCCCCGTGCACAGCTGCCCCAGGCACATTCCCTGCTCCTGTGTGCCCATGTGCTCAGTGCCCACCCCCCAGGGAAGGAGTCCAGAGGCTGGAAGCCAGAGGGCAGAGGTGGCAAGGGCAGGAATGTGCGGAGCTCACTTCGTGCTGGGCACCCAGCACACCCTGTCACCACACTCACCCACCCACCCACCCCTGCCAGCTGAGCTCCCCCCACACCACATGAGGCCCCCAGCAACCCCCTTGGAGGGAGGGGCTGAGGCCAAAACGGGCTCTCCAGGCAGAGGAACCTGCTGCCACCACCACCTGTGACCTTGGAAGCTGCTGCAGTCGCCAATTTTCAGCTTTATCTGCTTTTTTTCCTGTGAAATCAGAAAAGAGAAGTGAAACAAGACGACGCAGCCCCGGGGAGTGAGGCTGGCAGGGAGATCCTCCTGAGGACAGAATTGTCACAGGGGGGAGAGGAGCTACAACGGAAATTTATTTGCATGACTGAATAAGAGTCCCCTCCTCTGGGGACGTGTCCTGGGGACAGTTTGGGGTCAGTTCTTTCTCAGAGACAGCTCGGGCACACTCAGCACCCTGTGGGCATGGTGATGGAGGGGGGGAGTTTGCCAGGGCAGGGGTCCAGTGCCTGTCCTCAGCCTGGCCCCCTCAGCATGGGGCTGTGGGATGGGAGTGCAAGATTGAAGCCACCCCCTGAGCTGGATCCTGAGTGGAGCCATGACAATGCCACGGATCATTTCCCAGCAGAGGCAGCGGCTGCTCTGAGCAGGACAGGGGTTGCCCGGGCTCTGCACGGGGACGACACCCAAACCGGCGGAAATCTCACATCAAGGCTGTGAACAGGAATATGTAAAATATGTGGGTGAGAACGAAACTGGGGATAGACCTCGAGGACCAGGGGAAATGAAATTCAAGGGGATTTAGAGCTTTTTAAGCACCGGGCTGGATCAGGAGTGGGGAAATCCAGTTTGATAGGAGCATATGCAAAGCAGGGAGCGAGCAGAGCACGGTGGAGCGCTCTGCACCTAGGAAAGGGCCCAGGTCTGCAGCTTACTGCCCAGGGGAGGGATTTGGTGGTTATTAAAGGAAAATCCTTTAAGCCACCAGCCCGGGGTGTGCCGGCAGTGAAAGCACAAACAAGCGCCCGAGCACGGACACAAGGTAGGAGCGTGCTGGGGAGCACCTTGCTCGGGGGGCAGAGACGCACCTGGGGGGCAGCACCTCCCTCAGGGGGCAACTCCTCGCTTAGGGGGCAGTGTCAGGCAGTGCTGGGGTCATGGATTCGCTGTGGTGTTTTCCTGATGCCGCTGGTTGTCACGTCCCGCTAAGTGACCCGCTGGGTGCTCAAGCGAGACAGGTTCGAGGTGTGGGAGCTGCCATGGCTGGGGGGGCACAGGGCAGTGCTGGGGTTTGGGGCTGGCACCCACCAGGCTCCTCCTGCCACAGCCAGGCCCGAGCGAAGGGGGCAAAGATTTTACTTCAATGTGGAGCTGAGGTGGTACCTGGATGGGTGGTGGGAGAGGATTGGTGTCCCAGCAGGGAGACCAAGCTCCAAACAGGTGTGGGGCTTTCCCTCTGTGTGATGTGTGAGCCCAGTGCCAGGACCTCACAGGATGGCAAAGACAAGAAAAAAGGGCTGGGCTGCACTAGGATGTGTGTCTGGGCTGCCAGTGGATGCTCAGGGGCTGCCCTGGCATCTGATCTGGGAGGTGGGAATTGTCTCCTGGAGGTGCCAGTGCGAGAGGGCTGGCAGGCCCTGCCAGGGTGGTGGTGTGTGCTGTGCTGTGCTGTGCTGGGGAGCCAGTGTGGGAGGTGTGGGCTGTGCCAGGAGCCAAGGGAGAGCATGACAGAAAACATGGAATAACAGAGAGCAATTAGTCTGGAGAGAGTGGCTGATGGAGGGGGCTGGCCCTGGCAGCAAGGGGAGGGCAGCAATGATTTAATTAAAGCTGAGGAAGAGCGTGGTCTCAGCTAGTGCGTGGGCTGGCTGAAACAGGGGGCTGCAGGCATCTCCCCGGTGTCCTGGGGGACAGGACAGGGCTGGCTGCACTCGTGGGGAGTGGAACAATGCTTAGCTGTGCTGAAGCAAGGGCTGGGCAAGAAGAAAAAGGGAGAGACAGGGATAAATGCTTCATGCCCTGCCCTGGGATGCTCTGGCTCCGTGATGAGAAGCCGAGTTCCTCCACAGTGGCAGTGTCTGTCACAGGGATAAGTGCCCGGGAGACATCGTGTCCCCTGGAGCCAGCGTTGCTCCAGCTGGTCCCCTCCAGTGGCTGACAGGGCTGTGGCTCCAGCCAGGGGCCTGATTTGTGGCTGTCTCTGTCCAAGACACCCTTGCACCCCTGCTCTGTTCCCATCCCTGTCCCCATTCCTGTTTCCATCCCTGTCCTTTCCAGCATGAAACTGTGGTGAGCACAAGCGCGTCCCCAGGGAGAGGCAGGCTGGTCCCTTTGCACACCAGCATCCCCCAAACAGCCATGGATCCAAGAGCATCTGATGTCACAGGGCCCCCAGGATGCCACGAGCACCCCGTGATGCCAGGGGGACCCCACACTACCAAGAGGACCAGGCAATGCCATGGGGATGGTGTGCCAGGACAGGGAGCAGCAGGAGGAGCTGGAGGAGCAGCCAGCTGCCTTGAGGGCGTTGGAAAGAAGGGAGAGGGTCTCGGAGACACTTTGATGGTCCCCAAAAAATGCTCCACAGGTCTTGCTTGTGCCCACTGTCTTCCCTGGGATAGGCTCCTGCCAGAGAGGGAACAGGAAGGAGAAGTCCTGGAATGCTGCACCGTCAGAACCTTCTCTCTCCGATTCCAAACCTGTTAGCTCACCCCTTTGCAGCTCCCGGTTTCTCAGGCTTTTCCTTGGAAAGGAACGAAGCCAAAGTAAAACGGTGACATGCTTTACACTGGTCCTGATTTATTTCACGTCTTACTACTGAATCTTATTCCCTGGTTTCACGGTTGTTGTGGATTTTCACCAAAGGGGATGAGCAGGTCTGGGATTTGGAGTTGTCATAGGAACTGTTTCTGTGCCACAGCCTCACTGCCAGCCTCGTCCCCTCCAAGGTTCCTGATGGAGTGAGGGCCCTTGCCAGCCCAGTGGGGGATTCTCCAGCCCCCAGGAACATTCCCAGTGACAGCCAGGGCTACGGGGCAGCCACCCCACAACACCGGGGTGTTTGGGGAAGAGGTGGACTCCTGGGCACTGCCTGGCACTGCCCACAAAGCAAACTGGGCCCCCCAGACTGCAGCCCAGAGCTCTAACTTGAGAAGAGGTGGAGGTGTTTGGAAGATGCTGCTTGTCCCTGTGGATTCTCTGGTGTCTAGTAGGAGGTTGTGCTATTGCAGTTATTGATTGTGGGAACCCCTCTGCCGGACCTGGAATCATTTTCATTTAATCCATTGAGCTGAAGGGGTGTGGGGTGGATGGGGGGCTGCCCTCTGACCATTCCTCACCTCTTCTATCACAGGCAGAGAGGGCAGGCAGTGAAAATGAAAGCGTCACATCCTTTGTGCCCAACACTCCTTTGGCCCCTTCAGTCCTTCACTGCAGGACGCCACGAGGCCAAGACTGGCAGTGATTAAAGAGGGGTTTCCAGGGCCGTGGGACAAACAGGAACATGCAGTGCTTACGAAAGACTCACTTTGTGCTTTCGGTGTTGGACGGGACACTGGTCAGGGACAATCGCCCTCTGGAGCCAACACAGGGAGGGTGGATCCAGCTGCAGTGCTGGATGAGGGTTCCAGGGTGGGCAGAAGGGAGTTTCCTGCCCTCACTGAGGTGCCAGGGGCTCTTCACGCTGGATCAGCTGTTGGTGGCACACCGGAGTGGTCCTGGTGCCCCCCAACAGCCTCATGTACATTGTACCTGCTGTGCACGCTCCTGGGGATGCTCCAGGTGGCTTTGTCCAGGGAGAAGTGCTCAGGGTAGGGAAAACCTTTGGGGAGCTCCCTGTCCCGAGGGCAGGACGTTGCGGGGGTCCCTGGAGCTCCCGGCTGCTCCAGGGAGCGACCTTAAAGCGTGGCTGTGCTTGGCCGTGGCCCCAGCGCTGGCAGCCCCCGAGCCCGGCACAAGCGTCCCTCTGCGGGGAAGTGCAGGGAAAGGGAAAAATATTGAGAGAGGCAGGAGAAGGGGGAAAGCAGGCGCTGCGGGAGGCAGCGCGGCGCGGCCTGAAAGCTCCCTCTCAGCGGGCTTTTGTTCGCCCCGGACGTGCCCAGCGCTGCTGCCAGCCCGGAGGGGCTGTGCTGGCGCCGGTGGCTCCAGGCGATCCCGGAGCTCCGCAGCCTGCCCGGCGCCTCAGCCCAGCGACGTGCCCGTGGGCAGGATGCGGGGACCCCCATCACCCCGCTGGGCTCGGCCCCTCGCCGCCGGCCCCGGGGTGGGCAGCGCCCGGACCCACAGCGCGCTCCCGAAAATAATTCCTTGTGACAGATCCATTTCTTCCGCATGGTTTAGGCTTAATTTTATAATGGTATCAGTAGCTATGGCAACGTGTAAAAATAACGGATCCCCGAGCCCGGCAGATTCTCCGTAAACAGCTCCGGTCTCCCAGAGCCCGGCCGGGTGGGCATCACCCCTTGCCCACGGCTACCGCGGCCGCCTCAGTCGGTGGTTGGGTTGGGATTCACGCGATGACTAATTAGCAGCGTTAACTGCTTACGCTTTGGGATGATGATTCCATCAGCTAATCCTCGGGGCTAGGCTGGGCTAATTGGGTGGATATCATTAACTCTGGCGGTCAGAGCTGCTGTTAGAGGGCTGCAGCGCAGCGGAGGCTGGAGCATCTCTC